CATACATACATACATACATACATACATACATACATACATACATATATACATACATACATACATACATACATACATACATTGTATGATTAGGTCCAGTCTACGGTCACCCAGAAGCACAATCTGACTCTTGCGAAGACTTGTGACAAAAAAGTGGGCATAAACAACATTCAAGAAAGTACTGGGGAAAAAAGGCTATCGGTCAGGATTTGATGAATGAATGCACTTGCATTTTACTTAAAAATCAGTCTTTTGTCTAAATAAATAAACTTCTTTTTCTTTCTTTTGTCAAGTCAAGTAACAGCACACAAGAGTGCAAGCACTCATTATGTCATGATATCAGCTCTCTGACGTAAAGAGAAGGAATCTCACCAATCGTAAGAGAATTGGAGGATAGACTGGAACATGTAAACACACTAAACAGTTCGATGAAATGGACAATTCTCGTATAGCTTTCGACGAATACGATACAAAATTATTGACTTTATGCGTTGACTTATCGGATCTGTGGTGAAGTTTCAAGCGATTCTACGTCACAGCGCGTCTACCCCAAATCTGACCGCGATCGCACGGAATAATATTTTTTTTTTTATCAAACAGCGCTTGATTTCTCGATCGAGTAGCCAAGCCATCGTCCTATCTTTGCCGTGTACAATTTTGTGGTTACACCTGGCGATTTGTCTTATATTCGATAGATCATCCAGTTTTTGTTTAAAACAAATTTGAGCCCTGGTTACACGCAACGATAAATTGCACAAAAACTGACGTATTGGTTGTTTCCTCTCTTTGATATTTCTGTAGCGACATTATAATAACATGTTTTACAGGGTAAGGGGTCATGATACGTCCAGCCCTTGAAGGACCAGCGGGGTATCCCCCTCCCCCCCCCCCTCGTGTCTCTAATTTCGGAGGGACTATAAGATATCTATAATAGCCTACCTGTGTTGCCATTGAGTCGCTTCTGACAACACGCAATCCTCACGTCAGTCCTATTATCTTCCCAAAAGCCACAGACTGCACAGCAGAAAGAAACGATTGCTTGGAGTGGAGGCTACATTAAAACAATGTGAATAACGAACAAAGGCCTATAGGCCTATGATAGGTTTTATAATGTGCAAGTAGCAGGTGGATGGGTGGGGATCCCGGAGGACCTTCTGCAGTTCAACTTGATAATCTCAGTCGGCTTTCGCTTCTTTGCAGTCTATGAAAAATATTTATGTTTTGTTGTTTACTTAGGCTGGTAGGCAAAACACCGTATAGGCTACACTGTAAATATAAATTATTATGCTATAATAGTATGATATCATAGTCCCGACGGAAAAAAAAAAATTCGAAGGCCTAGCGCTTGAAGGTATAGGCCTACTGGTTGATCAAAAGTATGCAGCCAAGCATAAGACCTGGAGACTGAGCCGGATGTACATCGTGTCCGAAAGAGTTTTGCGGCACTTGCAACACAATAAGGTCATATAAATGCCGAAGAATAGACGTGTTACAAGAGAGTAACAAACACAAAAAAGGAGATATCAGGACGATAGACGTTTGATAGGAAAGAAGGAGCAAACCACACCAGAGCACCCGCTAACCACCCCCACCGGATGTACTTCGTTTCACTTTATGAATACAAGGGGGTCTAAGATCCTTGCACGAACATGATCATAGGTTTTATACATAGATATAGATATCTAGATCTAATTCAGTCACTGGAAAATGAAGTATTCTGGAACTTTGCCAGTTCTTCAATAATAATATTACAGTGTATCATCTATAGGAGTTTTGCTTGGCTGGACTTTGACAGTAAAACCGGAAAGCCAAGGATAGATCTAAATCTGGAAACTCTACCAGTAGATCTACTCTTTCTGCTCGCTCGCTTCAAGAGAGTTCCGATGCTCTGAGCGCACCGACGAAACTGCCGCGGTCTGATCAAGAGACAACTGATTGTACTGATTGTATGTCCAGTGTTTATTGAAAATAGTCTACGTTTCATTCTGTGTCCCCATTATCTACCTCTGTAAGTACTTTATTGTTTTCCTCGACTTTGGAGATTTAGGTCTTGTTCCCAGGCCAGTGGCGGAGTAAACAATGAAGTACAAATTACCTGTCAAAATGATGAGTTAGCAAGCAAGGATCAACTTGAAACTCATCCTTCTTTTTACGTTTGAACAGGTGCACGTTAGAGCTAGAATCTAGATCTAGATCTACATCTACATCTACATCTAGATCTACATCTGGATCTAGATTCTAGAATTATATCTAGATCAAGATCTAAATCTAGTAGATTCTAGGGTGCTTTTTCGGTAGTTCCCACCCACCCCCCTTATTATTTGATGCGCGGCAAGCTAAGACTAAGAATCAAACCTAACAACTGCAAAGGCAAAACATCAAATTATGGTAAAACGTGTCCCCCCTCCCCATGACTAACAAGGCATGGGGATTTGTTACTAACATATTGTCTGTAGACTGTAGTGAGGTTTCAAGGAAATTCGGCGATTGTTAAGATTCCCGCTTTTAATTTCGATGTGCGTTTTTCTCATACCCTCAGGCCTCAGGCATATTTCGCTTTGGTCCCTAACCCTAGGTTAGGGTTTGGGTTAGGGTTAGGGCCAGGGTTAGGGTTAGGGTTAAGGTTAGGGACCAAAGCGAAATATGACTGAGGGTATGAAAAACACACATCGGAATTAAACGCAGGAATCTTAACAATCGCCGGAAATTCAAGCCCTGTTCAGTTGAACTTCTCGCGTAAACGGAAAGCTGTCTTAGGAGGTCTAGGCCTAGGTCTAGATCTAGTATTTATAATAATGGAGTCTCCAAGCCCCCCCCTCCCTTCATAAATTCCTCTGTTAAAATATAGACGGTACACATGCGATTAAACGTAAAAGGACGCAAACTATTTTTAGGTAAGGCGGCCATTTTGTGTGACGTCAGACCGGACCACCCCTCCGATCATGTGCTATATAGCCAACGGGATGGCACGACGATTTGGAGCGATGTTTTTCTAGGAATACGGGTAATGTGATATGATGCGGTGCTCTAGAGGAATGTTCAAAGAATGAATTCAATAGACGCAGTGAACCGGAAAATTAGGAAGCTCAAACCCGTCAATGTCTCAATCATGAAGGAAATTGTTGACATTCGTACGGTGTCAATACTGGAATTCTGAAATATTATTACGAAGTGACTATTTCTCCGAACGTTCGGAGAAATAGTGCCGTTCTTTATTTCTCCGAACGGTTTCCGGCTTCCGGTCTCGTGATTTTTTGCCTAGCCTGTTTATTGCGAGAGTTCAGCGCCAACTTTCATTCTGCCTCTGGTCTGGGAACGAACACCGCATGGCATGGCAAGCCCGCCTACAGACAACCTTCAGTAACACCCACCACATACCCACCACCATCATGCACATGTACACACACAAACTTATACACACACTAACTAAACATGATTAGTGGGCAACTTTTGAACGTATGACGAGCTGAGCTGTGGATGGAGAGACAGTGTGAGTGACTGAGCAGATGAAAGGAAGAATGTACGAGTGTATCACAGGCGACAGCAACTACAACTACAAGGCGACGACACCGACCCCCCCCCCTCCCCCCCCTGGCCTGGTCCACAGCGCACGAACGAAAGGAATGCGGCTACGGCAGGTTTTTGCTAATATTATTGTCCATGGTTCGCAGGGTGCAAGGGAATGAGTGAGATTTTCTTTGTGTGTGCCTGGAGTGAGGGGGTGGGGTGTGAAAGTCATGCGGACGGGGATGAGCCGCGGGAGAGAACACGGGAATTGAATGAATGAGTGAAAGAGAGGAACGACTCATGAGCCCTGGAGTGAATGGATCCTGTGTTTCTATTTTTGTATACTTTGAACTGTTACTGAATAAAGGCTGAAATAAAGCCCGAAAAAACAAACACACACACGCTCCTCACTCTCCACTTACACACTTACTACCACACACAGACACATGCACACACACACACACACACACACACACACACACACACACACACACACACACACACACACACACACACACACACACAGGAGCAAATTTTTAGGTCTATATATATTTCAGTTTTCAAGAGCTAGTCTAGAGATTTTTAGATGAGTGTAAAAACGTGAAAAAGAAAGGTTTCACGACCGAATGAAATCAAAATTAGAACAGCCCATAAACAACCACAACAATTAACAAATAAGGGCGTGAGTCCACCTGTCCGAAGAAGATTGGCTGTTTTAACCCTAAATGTGTGCAATTTTAAAACAAAGTACATGATATTACATGTAAATTATGGAATCACACACATTAAGGGGCCTGCCAGAGTCAGTACACGTAGATCTAATCGGGTTTGGTGGAACGAACGCTCTAACATAACACATTTAAATCTGTATACATGTATATGTATTTAGAATCTAATGAAAGTAGGAACATAAAATTAAATGACGTTACACTATACAACATCCGCACCACCCCCCTCCCTCCTTTTCCCCCAACAAAAAAAAACTGATTAAAAAACAACACATCAGAACAATAACTAGAAAGAAAAAAATACACACTAACAAAATAAAACACAACAAAGAGGGAAAAATAAAAGTAACTAACGTATTCAACAAATCAACGTGGTGACAACAAGTGAGAAAGACAAAGTGAAGCTATGTGAACTTTCTTTCAAAAGTAAAGAGGTTCGGTTTCTTTCATTTTTTTTTTTTTTAAAATTTGACTTTTATTCCCCGATTCGGGGACCAAAAAATGCCCAAAAATCGAGCCACAATTGATTGGTCGCGGCCGCGACAAACGCAGATGCTAGTTCTATGTGTCGTTATCAATAACCCTCCGTAGATCTAGATCTAGATCTAGACAGCACCCGAGTGAACACAACACATTCATTAGGTTTAAGAGCAGCACCCTTCATAGGCAACACGTCATATATGTAGCGAAAAACTGCTTGGAACTGTAGCATTTCTTTATACAAATATTTACTGCGGACATTTTTTGGACCGATTGAACCATATTGTATACAAACAATCTTTGGTAGGCCTATACTATAATTATAGATCTATATAATATCCGAAATTTGCGGGAAAGGATGTGATTTCAGAGTGTTCGGAGAAATAGTGCCCAGCTTTACTTTCCCGAACGTTCGGAGAAATAGTGCCTAGCTTTATTTTCCCGAACGTTCGGAGAAATAGTGCCGGCCATATTATTAACATGGAAGTGGCTACCCTCACGCGGGGTGAGAATAAAAATACGATCGACCTCTCACCCCGGGTGAGACTTGCCAGCGTTGGCTATTCTCACCCGCTGTGAAACAAGACCTGTTTTTCCTAATTTCGGAATGGAAGCCTTTCGGAATACTGTCTATAATAGGCGTGGATGATCAAATTGATAAAAAAAGCATAGAAAAAATGACCTTATAGCGCGAAAGTAAGCTAATTTGATTCGTCTACAAAGATGCTATGACCAAAACAAAGTTAAAAAATGATGTTAAAACACAAAGGTAAATTAATTTGGTCGTCTACAACGATTCTATGGCTATTTAACTTTTCGAATCTAGCCGAACTACGCGGGTCGCCATTTTGTTTTGCCCGGAAGTTCTCGCGCTAATCCCCTCTCTCTCTTTCTCTCTCTCTCTCTCTCTCTCCTCTGCCCAGAGACAAAATTGCACGCTTTTAGGCTAACAGTAGTAATGGAACGTTTGTTTACGGCACTAAATGCTACAATTCTCAGCATTCTGTTATCACAGTGTAGAATTCTGTGGTTTAGGGTGAACGCCACACTGGTTGGCCTAGACTAGAACGGTGAACGCACTCCGGGTGAGAATAGCCAAAAGACTAGCCTGCGCTATTCTCACCCGGGGTGAGAATAGAGGTGGTCTATTAACATACTGGAAACACGTCATTCTATGCGATACCTCCACGGCCTTCTTAAAATAGTTTGTAGGTATCCCAGATGACATCACATTACTAAAATTAGCAGCCAATCAGAAAGATGCGTCTTCTGCGTTTTACGGCTTGTGACGGTACTGCTTGAAGTTAATCTGAAACCCAGTGATACCCTCAAGTTTTAATGTGATCTTTTTGATGATCGATATACAGAATCGGGTATTATAATAGAATCTCTCCTGTTTCGCGTCACATTCTTCACCGGTAGTCCGCTCCTTCACCACTTTAGTGCTGTCGCATGTCGAATAAGGTCAATATTCAGAGCAAGGAGATGTAGGGTTTTGGAGATATGGGTCTATTGGTTTGGCAACCACTGTCTTTCTTGTATGTTACAGTGATGACAAAAACAGATAAAAGCAGCAAGGCAAATTATGGACTTTAAATTCCATTTGTTTAGTAAACAAAGACTTTGTACGCTATGAACTCCATTCATAATGGTAATATAAATGACAAGCTTTGTAACAATGACCTAGTGCTCAGAACATGTCATCATTGTTATGTACAAGAAAGGACACACATTGGACATTATCATTGACAACACATCACAATAGTGAAAGGCTGTACAAATACTGTTATCAAAGCCTCAGTACCAGAAAAACACATGTGTAAAACAATTTTTAAACTAATATGAGGCAAAAGCACAAAATCTATGGAGCTTACTTGTACATAACAGTGATGACAAACATGACTTGTACATAACAATGATGACACAGTGTACAGGAAAAGACAAAGTCATGCCTCCAGAGAGAAATGCGCACTCTGAGAATAAAAAAAAAACCCAGGAGAGGTTTCTTTTGCTTTGAAACAGATCACGGCGTACAAACAGCGCTCTTTTAGTTGGATCGGCGATGAAGTGACCGGGTCACGGCGGGCCGGTCACCCAGAGGTCACTAAACCGCCCTCCCGCTACCTGTGTCGGTAGCCGGTGAAATGAATTTTTCAACACATGTTTTATCGTCTTACACAAACAAAAAATATCATACGTGAACACAAGTTTGTTCTTTAGAGAAAGCAACTAAACCTCTTTATTGGTACGAAATAGCAATACCATGGCTGCTCACGTTTTTGAGTTAGATGCTCTTAAAATGTATGTCTATTTATAGTTAGTCAAAACAACAAACACATATTGAATGGCTAATAACTTATAAGCCTAACGATAAATATTTACAAAACTGCCACGTAAGACAGGAAAATGTGTTTAGAAATTGACTCACTCAAAATTTTGTTTCCAGCACGAACATGAAACTTGTCATGAGCATGATAGCCAAAACACTTCCCTGCATTCATGACTTTTTGTATCCAATGGATTGTGTATCCTCCTGAATAATGATATACTGACGTATCTTCAATATACAGCACCGATTTCTTTTCACAAAATGAACATGTACAGAATAAAACTATAAATTTATACAATTTTTCTTTCAAAACATATCCAGCAGCACGCAATGAGGGAGCTAATTGCAGGAGATGCGACACAAAAAATAAAACGCATTATGTCTATCTGGTTTGGGATCCTTCGTGCTCTGGCTTCCAGTTTTGAGATCGCTTGGTGGCTGCTTTCTCACATGGCAGTTCCGAAATTTAAATATTCTAATTCATTTGTTAAAATAGTCACAGTTTCACTCTGATTTTTTCACACAAGAAGTTTTGTCAGCTTACGGCAGCTCTGTACTTACCCATAAAGATATAAAGATATTGATAAGTTGTGATTGGTTGGCTTTTTAGTCATGCATCTGAGGAGGTAAAAATTTTAGAGGTATGATTTATGTTTCTTTTAGTAGAGGTTTTACTGTGCTCGCAACTGCGTAAGGTCATATGAGCGCCAAATTTATATGTGTGTGTTTGGGAAATTCAAGAAATTATCTAGATTAGATAAGAATATTGAAAAAGTTAAAGAAAAAAAAAAAATCCACCCCTCTAGGTACCGAATCAGAGTGGGAGAGTTTTATTATTTTTATTATTACCTCCTGGTGGAGGTCAGAGAAATCCTGTGCTCTCACTGCTCTGCGAAGCAGCTCTGGTTTCATATATGTGTCAGTAAGACCTGCTCTTTTTCCATGGCACTATTGGCACCAGTGTTCCCCCCCCAAAAAAGTAAAATCACCTTATGTTGGATTGCTTTCGCATGGCAGTAATTTTTCAGTTTGACAGATATTTCTAAATTTACCAATTGTAAAGCATAGTCAAATTTTTTTCTGCTCAAAACTTTAATTTCCATTTAAGAACATATTTCTGTGTGGGTTTTACAGTACAGAAAATTGTCGATTTAAGCACAAAAAATGTCAATTTTCTGTTTCTGAGGACTTTCAAGCGATAGCAATCACCAAACTTTGGGGGCCATTTTCTCATTAATTTTACATCTGAAACCAGGGACCCCCCCCCCCCAATCTCCTTTACTTTTTGTCTTTTGTCACAAAATTGATGAGCGCCTGATTCCTCTGTATTGAGACTCAATTTATCAAAAGGGGGCTGCGAACTGGATCAGCTTTGCCCGGCTTGTGCTGAAGATAGCATTTTGCATTATATGACAAGTTAAACTTTGTACAAACACAGTATGTTATTTCAGCCTAATGACAAATTTTCTGGCTTGTTTATATGGCCTTTGTTGTTGTTTTATGTAGATGTAATTTCATATTTCTTTACTACGGCGAGGGGATTTGATTTTGTCTTATCTTTGCTTTGCAGTGCACGTATGCGTCATGAGTGCACCGGATGGATCTCTGTCTACACTTCTCAAATATCGCTTTACCAAAAAGATCGTGCCAAAGTTGAACCACACAGATTCTCAGCAGAAGAACGGACCTAATGGGCTTGGAAGAGGTATTATGTATAGATATTTGTAAGAAACAGTTCAGCGCACTCACATAGAAAAATCGATGGGCATGGAAATCTTTTATATATATATATAAATTTTGCTGTGCTATATAAAGGTAGATAGACAAAGTAGAAAATTGGTTTGAAATGTTTACATGAATTATTCTAGGCTGTATTCTTATGTATTGTTGTACTTGGATGGTGAAGCATGTGTCAGCATGGCTTTTTGGGTACTATTTAAGCAGAATGACTGCAGTGCACTGGATGTTTATGACATAAGGAATATGAATACCCGAAATTGTTTTTTTCATCTTGATGTTAGCTCCAACAAGCTGACTACATGCCTTTCATTGTTTTACTACTTCATTTAGTGTGATTCATTCTCAAAAGATTGTTCTTTCAGTGGCAAACATTTTTTTAAATCTCTAAAAATGTACACTCATTATGAAGTGTAAAGATAGAATTGACTTAAATGGTCCTAGTTTGTGATGCAGAAATGATTGCACCTTGTTAATAATACTATATATAGTATACAAAACTGGTGTGTTTTGTCACCAGTTTTGTATACTATATATACCAACGATCATAGAAGTATATATAAAACAACACGCTTATTTAAGTTTGCAGATGACTCCGCTATTATTGGATTGATAAACCATGATGAAAAAGAGTATTTCGAAGAAATATGTAGGTTTTTTAAATGGTGCAACTCAAATTTTCTAAAAGTGAACCTCTCAAAAACAAAGGAAATGATTTTTGATTTTAGAAGAGAAAAACCAACAATCCCACCACTCGTAATTGAACAAGAAACTATTGAAATCACGGATTCATACAAATATCTTGGCCTTACAATAGACAACAAATTTACATGGCAAAACCACGTAAACAATATCGCTAAAAAAGTAAATCAGAGGCTGTACTTTCTGAGGAAACTAAAGTCTTTCAATCTGAATCCATCCATCCTTCAGATTTTCTACACCACCACAATAGAAACTTTGATAAATTTTGGAATCACTTGCTATGGTAGCAATCTGGGAAGGCAGCACATTATAAAACTAAATAAGTTGATAAAAAAGGCATCAAGAACAATTGGTAGAGACCTAAGTAACTTTGAATATCTGCACAAGACAAACGTTCTAAAAAAGGCGGAAATAATGCTTTGTGACCATAGCCACCCACTGACATCGGAATTTCAACTATCGACCCGCAGTAAACGATACATTTCCAAAAAAGCAAGAACAGACAGATATAGAAATTCATTCGTATTAACTGCAGTGAGGTTACTGAACACACAGTGCTACAAATGAAACACAGAGAGAGAGAGAGAAAGAGAGAGAGAGAGAGAGAATGAATGTGTTACGGAGCGGGTTGTCCCAGCCCGTGAGACATGTATTTACTTGGCATAATGTCCTGTCTTGTTGTGCGTTTGCGTGAGTGCACGTTTAAGTCTAACTTTTGTAACGTCTACTGCCATTGTTAACAACCAAGACAAATTTCTCCCTGCGAGATGAATAAAGATTGTCATTGTCATTGTCATCCCAAAAAAAACCCAAAAAAAATTTTTTTTTCACGTCTCCATCAACACAATTTAGAACATTTGGGAGGCAGGCTTTGGCCCTGCCTTTCAGGGCCAACCAAGGCTGAGAGAGACGCAGTGCCTCAGCGGAAACATTGAGATCCTCACTGAAAGCTCTAAGCACACAGGAATCAAACTTGAGTCTTTTGCATGTGATGATTAAATACCTAACCACCACACCACAGACCCTGTCCCCATTTCCTTAATTCACATTACAAAAGAAAAGAGGGCAGTCAGTGGATAAGGACAAACTTAATGCTGAGGAGGGCTGTTTAGTTTTTATCAGTGTGATTTATTGAGTTGGGTTCAACCAGCTATATATTTGCTCATGTTTTATTGTTCCTCACTCGTACCTTTTCAGAAAACAGTTCAGATTCCCTCGATAGTCAAGCGACAGTTCTGTACAGCCAGGGATCTTTTCCCAGTGCCAGTAACAGTCAGGATTCAGAAGGAAGCCAGCAGACATCCAGCCCTGTAGTGACCACAAATAGTGATTCAGGCAGCCTGCGGAGTCCAGGCTCTCAACCTGCTGCTGCTGCAACCTCTAGTCCCTTGATTCCGTCAAATGTCAATCAAAGTATTGCGTCCGACGTCTCCCCAGCACAGCAGTCGTCACCCTCTGCTGTTCCTGGTTCTGGTCCGTGGATGTCCAAAACAACGGGGCCTGTGCAAACAAATGGAGATTCTAAGTAAGTCAAGAAGAGTGCTTGCCAACCTGGGCAGTATTGGTCACTGGTGGATGATTGGATCATTTTGGTGGTTGGTGGGAGTCATGTGGATTGTGACCAGCATTATTTAATGCCTTGGATATGAAATTCATAGAGTTGGGTGGTACGCAAATTTTAGGCTATTAAAGGTGACAAAAGTTGGTGCTGGCTGGAAAAAGGTTGACAAGCACTGGTTTTGAAGGTCTTTTGTACTGTGGGATTTGCACTGGACACCAGAGACAATCTGACTGATTGTGAAACTCTTAATACAAACTTTATGTAAACTAGTACCTATTTTATACCTACTATTTTGCTTACTTCTTTGTCTAAATGTTTACCTTGTGCTTTAGACATGGAAAGCTGAACTTATCTGTTTTTGCCTTTTTTTCCTTTGAAATCATTATTGTATACTGAAGATATTAAATGCCAATAGAATCTTTGCATATATGCCCTTGTCTGTTATACCCCTTCCTTGACAGTGATGGCAATGATGAGATACCAGGTGTTTAGTCAAGTCTCTCAAGTTTATGAAAATTGTCTGAAAAAGCTGAGGGCAATGTTTCCTCTAGGCAGTGTAAAGAGGATGCGAAGAGACACTGTTGATGTCGAAATATTTGCTATTGAAGAACGTGGGAGTTGCCTGGTGTCAGAGGTAAAGTTAGTGAGAAAATAACCGCCAAAATTTGGTGACTTTCAAAGATATAGTGTCCTTGAAACTGCAAATTTACATTTTATCTTCCTTTTATCAATGCTTTTCAGTAAAATTCATGCGGGAATTGTTTAAGTGGTCATAAAAATAAAAGGCCCAAAACAAAATAATGGATAAAAATGCCAAATGGGTGAAAAGTGTCAATGTTTTCACATTCATTATTTTCACGAGCGCCTGATTTCACCACAATGCCACACATATATAGACATTTGGGTGCTGATAAGCTTTGCTTGCCTTTCATGGTGTTGCTGAATGTCTTACTTACTTGTCCACCGTGTTGGGGTCACTGCAGTCGGAAAATGTCCATCTCTGCTCCCCC